AGGCTAAACTTGGCTATAAACTGTGACGCGTTTTCGAAGAGAAAGTCCATATTGAAGCCATATAGTTTTAAGGATATTTAATAAACAAAATCATAGCATAGTAACTATGGACAAAACAGTCAACAGAAAAAATGACAGCACAAGCTCACCCTCTGTCATCCGCACTCGACATGAAACAGGTGACTTAAATAGACAAACCACACCTATGTGACAATTACCGGAAGTGCTCAACAAACAAATAAAAGTGACGTAAACAAATAATAATAATACAAATAATGAACTTGGGCTAAGTAGCATTATGGCACCGACACTGGCATTACGTAGTGCATCCACTTAGTGATCAATCTGTTTACTATTACATTTGCATCTGTCAGAGAATGTATTGGTTTTTAAAGCACATAATGTTTTAGACCCAAAATACATTTCAAATCTTCTGGTACATTATGAACCATCCAGAACCCTCAAGTCTTCTGAGACGGATCTGCATTCTTACCCAGTGTCAAAACTATCATGGGGAGGCAGCGTTCAGGATTTATGCTCCATTCAGTTTTCATGCTTTCAGCTGATCTGCAACTCTCAATTCTTTTAACCCTTGTGTGGTGTTCATATTTTTGTTACTCAGCCAGTGTTCGTGGGTCTGGTGGACCCGCTGCCTTTTTGGGCTTCAATTCAACACAATCAAACTATTTGATGTTAAAATACTGGTTTGGCTCGATGAAACCTAATATTCTTATATGATTCTGTTTTCTTCAAGTTTGTATCTTCTTGGTCGAATGCACTTCGCTTAAGTCGCTTTGGATAAAAGCGTCAGCTAAATGTAATGTAATGTAATGTAATATATGGTTAATATTTACCCTTTTACATTTGTTAGATCACATTAATGAATTAAAGTGCTACTTGTTTTTTTGCCTGCTGACCGGCTGGTCCTGTGGCTCGTCTTGTTTTTGCAACTAGCTGATGCTCAATCTTATCCTCTTCTTCAAAGTCAGAAATTCATTCTGAAACCTCTTCCTATTCCTCGACATCATCATCAAATGGTTCTCTCTCCTCCAAAATAATTTGCAAGGCCCTCTGAGCAGAGAATTGTTGTGATCAGGACCCAAACTGGCAAAGCTTTATTTATTGTGTCTCGCTCCAAATTTGCAGCTTGGATAGAGTGTGAAAAAAATAAAGATTGGTTCCCGCAAAACATAATGCGGGAATGTGAGAGCAAACAGGTGTCGATGTAGATGTATAATCAAAAACCTTGAACACATGCTTAACCAAGGATTTGCCCTTCATATGTTTATGGCACATCTGTGTGTCATAAACGAAAATTCCTTTATAGCAATTATCAAGTCGCACTATTGGTATATATTGTAAGCTTAAATGTTCCATTTTTTTGATTCACTGAAATACTCTTAGTCAAGGGTTGAAAAATATCAGCCACCTACATCTTACACACACACACACACACACACACACACACACACACACCACCACACACACACACACACACACACACACACACACACACACACACACACACACACACACACACACACACACACACAGAGAAGGCCCGAACACCCTGTATGTAATGTAAATATGTAGGAGGGGTACAGTGGGTGGTCATTGAAAATGTGTTCTGATATAAGTTCTTCACAATGAGCCGAGGCCATTGAGTGTGGGTTTGAAAAAATAATTGATCATATAATTTTTCTTTAGCTAAATAATGAAAACGGGTCCCACAGACCCGAACACCATACAAGGGTTAAAGGTCCCCTATTATACTGTTTGTCATTAATATATTATAGGTCTCAGATACAAAACATGTCTCTGAAGTGTTTGGCTCGAAATACCAAACAGATCATTGCAGCATCCCATAATCCCCACTGTTTCAGCCCTGTTTCAAAAGTGCTGATTCTCTGTCTGTTACTTTAGATGAAAATAAGGAGCCTCTCCCCACCAGTGGCGGCGCTAGGGGGTGGCTACTTGGGCTCAAGCCCCGGATGTTTTCTGAAAAGCCCCGAATGTTTCACTTGAAGCAAAACATTTTTAAACGTCTCGTGAGTAATGTGCAGTACCGGAGTCCAACAGAGAGGCAGCAGCTAGTAGCCTGCATACTGCTTAGCCTTCCCTGCCCTGAAGAAGAAGGTCACTTCATCAGCGTGAAGAGTCTGCTTTATGCACTCCACAGTAGCCCGGCCCGCTGCGAGGCTCCAGCGAGTTCACAGTTCATGAGCGTGCTCCACTAGCAAATCTTTTTACAGAGGGGACACATATTTATATATAAAATACATGAAAAAGTGAATTTTGCATAATAGGTGATCTTTAAATCAAGGTTGAAGACATCTCTTTTTGCCTCTGCTTTTGAATAAAATCCAATAATTATTGCACTGTCCCTTTTTAGTGTTTAGCCTTTTTAATGACTGTGTTGCCTTTTCTGGGCTTGCCTTATAGAATAGCCCCTTCTCCGAAGACCACTGTTTCTATATACTGTAATCCTCATACACTGGCACCTTTGAAGTCACAACGTTTCCACTTTTCCCCCTAGTGTACCCAAGTGGTATTGTTGTTGTCACAAAGACAACTGGTCGCTTTCCTTAGTCTCAGCCAAGCAACCCTCAACAACACAGGACACACAGCATTTTCAATTCAGCGGTCACTTTGTTTGTCACAGCGACTACTATTTTCGCTACTTGGGACATCAACTTCAAAGAACTGACATTGATTCTCATTGTAAACTTGGGATAGCAAACAATAGCTCAAGATAGGTACCAGGAAAACAAAAGCAGTAACTTTTTGCTGTTTTGGATCGGTAATGGTAGAAATCAAATCAAGTTTTATTTAGCACATTTTTAAAACGATTTTTGGTCGAGCCAAAGTGCTGTACAATAAAAACACTTTACAATAAAAACACTTTACAACAAATACAACAGCACAAATAAAAAATCACACACAGGGAAATGTCAGGAGTCGTGCTCCGCTCAGACTAGAAGGCCAGAGAGAAGAAGTGAGTTTTAAGTGTAGATTTAAAAACCCCTAGGGTCTGGGCCGACCTCACATACTAAATACTACTTTGTGCCGTAAATCAGGACTTTGTTTTCTTGTGAGATTGTACCAAGTCCCCAAGAAGAGCGCCTACTGTTGAAGCAAATGTTCGTAGTGGCCAAACAATGCTATTACACTTCTGTTCTAGTTTGTGATGTCATTTCGGACCAAAAATACATTGTTCCATTGACCTATATTGGGAAGGAGATGTCTGCGAACAGCGTATTTTAAATTTTTTCACCCAGAAGAAACACTTTTATAGCCCTTATTTAAATTGTTAGGGTCTAGGAGGCAAGGCTTATGAAACACTCAATTGTGCATGCTCTGTGGGCCCAGAAATGGGTACTTTTTTAATATTCAGTCTCTTGATTGCAGGCGTCCTGCGCCACTGAGCAACTCTCATAGGAATGAACGGTGCCCAGCATCCATGGATTGTACCCAGTTCCAGACACAATTGCATAGTAAAAGCTAGGAAGCTGAATACACCAGAACTTAGAAAAGACAACCGCAGCGCAAAGAGAATCCAACTGCACATACACACAACGCAAATATAATGATGTGTCAAATGATGTGCTAACGAGTGCCCTGTGTATTCTTATGGTGTTGTTTAATGTGGGCTTGATTAACGTGGAGAACAGTGTGAAACAAAGGAAGCATTAAAGCTAATTTCTTTATCATCCAGAGAATTCAAACAGCTCTAATCATGACTGACACTTTTGGGTAATTTCACTTAATGAGGAACTTTACTAAGCAAAAAGTCTATTAAACCACAACCTTGATGTAAATGCTAATGGTTTCATTGTATTGTGGTCATTACAATCAGCATTTACTTAATTATTATAAGTTGAAGCAAACGTGTCTCTATTGTCACAGTGTGACCCCCTCATGTTGTTTTGTGAGTCGTGTCTTGAATTGACAAGTGTAAGTCCAAAGTTTATCTCTGTTTACTTCGTCTTTCTTAACAAACTCTTGATGAAAATGTATTTATTTTCAGCTGCTAAATGCTTAACCAGCTGGTTGTTTACAACGTCTGTGTGCTGTTTGACCACCTGCGATCAACACAAGTGAACCAAAACAGTGACATTTGATAACTGAATCCATTGTATAAAAATGTTGATTGATTCAGCTCGAACCCTTTAATAATTCTTTACTTTTTCTTGCCCTGTAAACTGTGTGTGAGAGTTGCTCTGCACTTAGGTTACATACAGTCTGATTATATATGGGGAGAAAAGATTGCTATTGTGTGAAGAGGAGAAAAGATGAGCCAGTAAAGACTGGGAATCCGATTTTCAGGCTTGTCAGACCAAAGCCCCTGCCTGGGAGCAAGCCTTTTATGTGAACTCGAACATAAACTGATAACATCCTCTGGACTCACTGTTTACTTTGAAGAGTTAAATGTGTATCACTGGAAAGAACATCTCCTCCTTTTATAGTCTTGAAAAATAAAACATGACAGCTGTTCTGGGCTTGAAGAGATTGTTTGCGAAGCTCCTGAATGCACCAGCCTTTAAAACCCACATGGGGAGAATTGATTTGCCATATCACCTGGCGAGTGTATACAACACGCATATACTATAATGAACGAGATCAGCATGGAATTTGATGAGCAGCAAATTAGTGTCCACGCGTTTCCTTTGGAGCATGGATTTCCCTCTTCTGCAGAGTCCCAGATTGAATCCTCCCCCTCTGTTTCTCTCCCTCCACCCCTCTGAGCGCGCTGCACCTGTGCTGCTGCTGCTGCAGCTCGTGCGTCAGACGATGGAAAGTGATTCCTCAGACCTTCCTCTCTGTCGGACCGGGTGCAGACCGACTCGACCTTGCGAAGTGGCTACAGGTCCTCCTGCAGGAGCTCCAACCCTAAATACAGTCTACGCTCCTACCGCGCGTTTGATCTGCGGACAAACAAAAACTTTTTGGTGTTATTTGTACTCACTTTGGACAACCATTGAGAAAATATTGATCCTGCTTGTCCACCACCCACGCGGTTCTCACAGTAAAACTTCACGAGGAACCATGCAAGTTTATGTGGCTGTGATATTCGCGTACGGGGTGTCCGGTAAGTTAATTAAATTACTATTTTGGACGAATTCATAAAGTCTTTGAATCTTCAGTGTCTTGTGAACATACTGTATTGTGCCCTCATCAATCATATGCTCTTTTGCACACAATGTACAATACATTTGTTTTCCTAACTAGGAGGTTATCCCAGTGACTTTATCTGACATTTGATCTCTTTAAGAAAGAGAGGACGTGTTCTTGTATGATTTTGATAGATGTTGTGTATGTCACTGTATCAGCAGGATATCATTTCTAATCTATGTGTTCTTGTATTGGGTTCAACACATCAGGGAGCCGTATTGATATTTGCAATGCATTCTGCCACCCACTAAGTAGAAACCGCCTAGAAATTGTTAAATTATCGTGAATGGAAGAAATTGGAAACAGTGGGAGGCATTTCCCAATTATTCTCTTATAATACGATGAGTTTGTGGATTTAAAGGTGCACAGTATTCCTGTTTCACTCTCATGTTGAACAATACAAGTTCTGTAGTGCTGTGAATCTCCTCATGTCAGTGGTAGATGTCTTGCCGTCTTAAAGCCTTTTTAAGCTTTTTTTTTTTTCATTAACAGTACATTTGCAATCTCTTATCAGTCACTGTAATGTAGTTCTGTATGCTTTCTGCAATGGCAGGGATTCAAGTCTGTGTGAAGCCTGGAGGAATAACAAAGTATCCACACTAAATTTAAACTGGCAGAGGCTCTTTTTCTGGGTCAGACAGACTTATCAAGAGCCTTTCATGTCACAATATAGCTTTTAGTCCATAGAGCAAAATAGTTTAATCCAGTGCGTGTGTTTTGTCTTCATAAACCGAGTTGTGGCACTTCGGCTGACACACTAATGTGTGCACAATAACTCCATTGCAAGATATGCCCTGAAGTATAGAGTTTTGAATCCTGAGAAAAGCTGAAAACCCAATTTACAAGATTACTTTTATTGGAGCATTGAAACTGTAATAGTGATACAAAGAGGAGTAGAATAGTTGAATATGTGAAAAACCCTAACCAGCCCACTATTAAGTAATTGATGGTTTACAGTAAGTCCTTTGAAAATGGCAGAAAATATGGTTTTCAACCTCTTACTGTAAATATGGAGATTTCCCACCTATCTCTGTTTTACATCATATTAAAGTGTATATCTTTGGGTTTAAGATGGACAAAACAAGTCATTTACATGTAAAGACATCACTGTGGACCTTGAGAAACTGTATTTTTTTACCAAGAATTAATCAACTCATCTTTCAAATAATCTGTGTGATAAAGATATTGTTTAGTTTGGCTGTAAAACAGCTTGTCTTTATGCATTGAGGTTGAAACTGCTGATGCACTGATGCACTACATGTAAGGCAAAGATGGGAATATGTTGCATAACTGCATGCATTTTAGCTAAAGCAAAATATTCAAAGTCATAACCTGCGCTCCTGTGTGCTACCTTATGGAAAATGGATCTTCTGCAGGAAAAACCGACCATATAAGATTCTATATTTCATGTTGTCACAGTTAACAGAAGATAGGACATTTTTCAGTTCAAACAGTAATGCCCTAAAGATCTGTTGGACCCTGATTCCCAGTCTGCCACCAGGCTGTGTAGAGCCTGTGGTTTATGTTATGCATCCTGCACTGCTGCCTCTCAGCGCTCCTTATCAGCCTCTGTTTGGCCAACTCAGCGTTTTGAATCAGTGGCAGAGGCTGTCAGTGATGGTGAGCTGTCTAAGTGGGTGTCCAGCAAATCATTGTTTCCATCCATTTACTGTGGAAAATTGAAGAAACCTCTCAACCACCAACATAATGCGGTTCGTTTTTGTTATCAGACCAGACAGACTCTTGTTTTATATCCCAAGAAAGATTTATAACTAGTGGAGCAAATAGGTTTTTGGCAGGTCTTTAGTTGGTGAAGACCAAAAAACAATGAAGTGTTACCAAATATTTAGTTCTGTTAATCTTTTTATGATTTGTTAAATCATGAATACAGATGAGTATTTTTCCTAATCCACATGCACACAACTTAACTTGCATGCGTGTCGGTAGTTGGCTGGCCTTCTGCTGTTTCTTTACAGTGTTTGAGTGCAACTTTTACCTGAATAATCAAACCATTTCATACGAATGGGTTTTTATTTAAGAAGGTTTTTGTATGCACTTTTCAGCATAGAAGCAACAGGACCAAAATTAAACTGGTGGCCCAACAACGCCCGACGTCCGAAGAAAGTTGAGCGCTCGGTGCATCAGGCACATTTAAAAAGAGAGAGAGAAAAAGAGAAAACACACACTTCTTATCTCTATTTAACTTGATTTTGTCAAAAAAGGAAACGGCATTCACATGGGGAAAAAGCCTTCTATCCAATTAAGTTATATAAAGGAAACCTTTTATGTGTCTTCAGGAGCAGAGCAAATATAAACTTTCAAGTTGAGTGGTTTATTTGAAATATAAATGAGACTTTTTCTGTCTCTGGTTGATTTAAGAATGTCTCAGGATGTGGCTGGAAGTTTGGAGGTTCAATCCCAGCCTACATGCAGCCTTCATTTCGATGTGTCCTTGGGGCAAGATACTTAATCTCAGGTTTCTCCCAATGGCCAGCTGTGTGTGAATGTTGTGTTTCCCAAGCAGATTGCAACGTGTATTCTGTATGAATGGATGACCATGACTTGTATATGTACTGTAAAAGTGCTTTGAAGGGTACTTCAGAATGGAAAAGCGAAATATAAATGCATGCAGTCCATATACCTCACATGCAATAACACAAATTGAACTGTGGTGCTACAAATTGGAAAAAAAAGTATCTTGTACATGTGCTGTATGGGAATACTCTGTTCGAAGCATCACTAAAGAAGGCACAACATGAGATGTGATATGAATATTTATATTTTGAATCTGTCCTGCTCCTGTGAAACATTTATCATTTAGGAGTTTTTCTTTTCAACATGCTGAACAGCAGGAGCCGTTAAATGCAATGATCCAAGACATCCTTTTTTCATTTCAAGTCTAATTGCTTTATAGTCTTTCTGGTCCCCAGAACACAGTGGCTGGTTGAGAGTGGAAACCTTTACGTCAGTAGAAAAGAGTGTAAATTACAGCTGAAAAGGTTATACTTTGACTGACAAGCGTAATCAAGGACATTCAACAATGGGCCACATGGATGATTCATATGACACTTTTGGACAGCCTTCGTTATCTCTCACAGGCTACATGTGTGCACTGATTTTTAATGACACAATGCTTGTCAAAGCCGGAGCTTATATGCTGTAAAGGAGTTACTTTGAGTGTAGTAATTTGATTTGGTGATTTAGTGGCAGGCATTGTGCATCTCACACATTAAAGGATGTGTTTTCATCAAATAATGTCACATTTGCCAACACTTTAGGAGTTAATTATATATGTCACAACAAAATAACAAAAACAAATCATATTATGTTGGTGGTTGAGAGGTTTCTTCCATTTCCCACAGTAAATGGATGGAAACAATGATTTGCTGGACATCCACTTAGACAGCTCACCATCACTGACAGCCTCATCCCCTGATTCAATACGCTGAGTTGGCCAAACAGAGGCTGATAAGGAGCGCTGAGAGGCAGCAATGCAGGATGCATTAGGAGTTCAAAATAATGTCACATTTGCCAATACTTTAGGAGTTACATGTAATTATCCAGGAAATGGTTGGTTATTTAACATTTGTTCTAGAAAAAGGACTTCTAACATGTTTACCATCTGGCTTTGAAACAGAGTTGCCATGTTGTGATTCATCAGTATGCTTTCTGTCAAGTGGAAGCACTTCACTGTCGCCTCACCATTGTACATGTGCTGCATGACTAAAAACACTCAATGGATCTCTTGTGCTTTAATTCATAATCATATCGCTTGAGAAATGTGGACTGCTCATTAAAACAGTCTGATATTAATTGAAAAATAAAATGTACAATCAGAACAGGTTTTGTGACACATTTTGTAAATCCTTTTGGTAAGTGACATCTCATAATGTGTTTCAAAAAGAGTGAGTACCAAATTCTAGTTTTTAGGTTGTTGATTGACGACTGAGTTGTTATTCGTTTTTCATTAATTATTATAAAAAACATAATTAAAGTGCTTTTATTGCTTTGCTTTAGTGACTATATATCCACAACCACCGTTCCCAGAAAATTCAATGTCACACTTGGTCCAATTTCCCTTTTTGAGTAGAGGTGAAGACATTATGTTTCCTTCTAGCTGTCAGTCAGGGAGGACTGGCAGTCACAACTTCATCAGCAAACCCATGAAACTCAGTCATAAGCTGCAGTGGCTGAGGCTGGTTTTAAGATTCTAAATATGGATTAGTGACGAAGAACTACTTTTTTTGCAAACTTGCAACTTTAAAAACATGTTGGAGTTCAGTTTTGTCTCAGCTAATTGGCAAAGCTTATCTAAGTGATGTTAGTGCTTCACGGCACATCTGATCATGCTGACTTTTCATTATGTAACCGCTGAAGAGATTACTCTGTGCTTTACACCATGGTCATACTATTTGAATGAATCTGTATGTATGCCAAGAGCTAGATATTAAATACTTATACCTGGAGACACAAGTGAACGGTGCAAAAAAAAACCTTTTCATTATATCTGCATATTCGCTGGAAAGAGCTGTTGACACGGAGGTTAAAAGCAACTATTATTATTTTGAGTCTGATGCGGCTCGTACAGTCAAACGGGGCGCAGCTGGATGATGCATTTTTTATTGCCTTTGAATAAATGTTGAATAAAGAGCATCTGTGTTTATTTAGCCAAAAATACCAAACACTTGACAAGTCATTGAGCAGCTCAGCGTGGAAGAAGCATCCTGAGCTCTTTGATACTGCTATACCTGAAAGCTTAAAAGCCGAATGGATGTATAAATAAAGTAACAAATGTGTTTATTTTGCACCAAATAAGATTTACCTACTGTATATTTAACTATCGGTAAAAATATTCAGAGTAAATGACGAATGACGGGATAAAACGCATAATCGTTAGTCCCTAATGAAGGACAAAGTGTAAGGAATTGTGAGAGGTCCTGTTGAGACATAATGAGATGATAAATCTATCATTTAGCATGATGCCAGGCTGCTTTAAGTGCCGAGTAGATATTATCATAAATAATATTCTCTTCTTAATTAGGTCCAGTTCAGGGATGTCATACAGGCTGACTGAATAATCTGAAAAAGTCTTATCCTTGTCCTGTATTGTGCACCACATGCATGGTAACACACACTCACAATGGTGCATGGATAAGGAATATTTATAATGAAGACTGGGTGTAATGAGGGATGAATAATTTCCTCCCCCACCTTTTTAATGGCAAATGTCCTACATTCTCCACATATGTTCATATGTACTGTTTGTTCAATGCCTCTGAGATAAAGCACAAGTTGCCATAGGACACTGTTAAATGAGATGAACAAACTCCACAAGTACATCTTAGACAAGGGCTCTCCATATATAGACAAGTGGCAGGTATTTTGCATTCCCAATCAAACGTCTGAATATTTTTGCTCTGTTTACAGCATTCAATATCAGCGAGGAAAAAACGACGTGCCCCCTTGGATATTTCCCCTGTGGCAACCTGACCGTGTGCCTGCCTCAGCTCCTGCACTGCAACGGCATCGATGACTGTGGGAATCAAGCGGATGAGGAGAACTGTGGTAATGAATTTTTTTTTCTACTCGTTCAATGTGCAGTGAAACTTGATGCCTACACCTGCGATTTACCAGCTAAAAAATAGATGACACTCAGAAAATCTCAAGTTTTGAAATGGACACTTTAAAGATTACCTTTAAACAAAATCCAATTCATTTTTGAGTCAGTGAATGACTGTGTGATAGAGTGGTCATGCTCCAATCGGTGGTTCAATCCCCAGCGCTTGCAGTGAACGAAAAGCATGGCCAACAGTGAGTGAATGTAAATGAAGGTTAGTCTCCATTGGTAGCCTCTGCCTCTATGAATGTGTCTACACGGGTGAGTGCTGATTTGTATATGTAAAAGTGTTTTTAGAGTTTGCAAAGACTGGAAAAGCACTAAACATAAACTAGGTCTATTAAGTTTAAATTGACTTTATAATACCATTCATATATTCTGGCCCCTATAGTGGTTTTTGCAATATAAGTTATTGTACATTATAAAACGGACATGTCAAATCAAGCAATCTGATTGGTTCTTAGCCGTGATATAATCAGCGTATACCATGGGTAGAATTGTAGTTACTTTTCACAACAAGTCAGTATCCCTCCGCGTCTGAGAAAAACTGTATACAGTTGGGCCGAAAAGCAAACTGCATGCAGTTTGCTTTTCAAACTGGGACAAGAAAACAGCGGAGTAGTAACGGGGCAGAAACCCTCCTTTTTACGCAGCGGTCCAGACATAGACATCAATCGGCAAAACATATTCAGTTGCCAGTTACTTTGGCATTAGGGCAGGGATATCTAGATACTTTCGAAGGTTTGACATAATGAATTGTGCTACTTTTAAAGCAAGCAACGATGTTTTCAAATCTGTAAAACGCTATCGACCAATCAGATTGCTTGATTTGACTTGTCCGTTTTATAAATATTATTACATTTTGTCCGTTACGAAACAAACTTACAAAGCATGAGATGGAAACATTTAAGGTTAACTTCGACCTCCGGGGTGGCCTTCATTTCATTTCATTTCATTTCATTTCAAACCTTTATTTAACCAGATGGTCCAATTGAGATCATAGATCTCTTTTTCAAGGGAGACCTGCAATACTTACTTACTATGGAGCAGTGCCTATCTCCAGAAAGCACCTAAACGACGACATGCAGAGCTACGTGAAGAGCAGGTAGTAGACCAACTGGAAAAGTACCACCATTCAAAAGCTTTCTGATGCGGGTCTTGAAACAAAGCAGAGAAATTATGACCGTTACGGGCCGTCTCCACGGCAGCGTTAAAAAAATCTTGGAGGTGGGCGTATCTGAGGCTTGGGGATTTTTTTGCGATCAACCAATCACATGAATCTCCCGCCCGCGACATATGAAGCCAAAAAGCCCGAAGTAAACTGGATATAAACTCCCCAAAACAGGCGAAAACATACCACTGTCTCTGCCACCTCCCTCCATGCCTGGCTCCTCCGGTTTATATCCCGGTAGGTCTGGTCATAAAGCACCGGGTGATTGATTCGCTACCGCTAATTTCTCCTCCATGTTTTGGAATATGAGGAAATGACCTGCGGTCTGTCTCTCCCAGCATACACGCCGTTTGATTGGCTAGAGCTTGAACTGTCAGATTTGCGTACACGGCATTTGATTGGCTGACGCTTCCTCCTCAGCTTCAAAAGTTGAACATTGTTCAACTTTGGATCTTGAAAATCCTGAGAATCTCCGCTCGCCTGCCCACAATGCATTTCGGCGAAAGCGAAAAAAAGTGACGTCACCCCATTCAAAGTGAATGGGCAGAAGCGTTTCAAGATTTTTTAACGCTGCCGTGGAGACGGCCCGTTAGTGGCCACAGGTGCAAAAGTGGAGCAATATTCTCGCCACGCCAAGCAACAGCCTAGAACAACCTCAACCTATACAAGTAACCACGTAAGCCATTCTACTGATGCTGGACAGTTTTTCAGTGGGTGCACAATGAATGGCAACATACACATTAATGTAAATAAATAGCCAAATAATCGATCAACGCTCTCTGTCTAATATGTTCGCTAGCTGTTAGTGTTGTTGCATAGCAACCACCTCGCACTATGTTTTGTGCAGAAGGCAACGGAGGGACTATTTTATTTAACATCATTATTTACTCATAAAAACTATTTAAATTAGAGTGTGTATTTTTCTTTCATATTGCCACACTTGGTAACCGTTTTACCGTGGTTCGCGTCGGGCCGAACCATGCCGCTTATCTGTGATATACTGAGCATATACGGCCTGAAGTGAGCTATTGCTTAAGTATACATCCAGACGCCCTCTTTATACTCCATACTCATTGATCAGTGTTTAACTATATGCTAATTTGCTCTTATGGTGGGCCTCAGGGTTCGGCCCGTAATTAAAAAGACTTATAGCTTTTTGCTGGTGTAGGCAGTATATATAAAACCCTTATTCATCAGGATACTACATGTGCTCACAACTGCCTGATAAATAAATAAATAAGTTAATTTATTAAACAAATTGTGGGTTGGGATAAAGGCGGTATCATTGACTAAACTCAATCTTCATTTTATTTTCTACTTCATTCATTTTAATCTCAATTACACAACTGTAATGTTTTGACTGCATCTTGCACACATTTGACATGGTCCCAAAATCGATCAATGCACACACGCTAACAATGTGAATAGAACACAGATTGCATGAGCCATGTTTTTTATGGATTATGTTCACTTGTTTTTCTCGCCTTGATAGTAGATCATTGCAGCTCATTTATTTTTTAGCACATCTGTCACAGTTAAGCAAATAATTGCTCTTCATAACGTCATGTCAGCTTTTATAAAGTCTGTTCAATTATTTTAGTAAAGATGAATATGCAATTCTAATATTATTACATTTCAGATTTTCTTTTTACCATTCTTATTCTTGTATAATATCATTTTCATTATATTTTTTTACTTTTTTTTGTGGTTTACCCAAGTAGTGAACCCAGTGCAGGAGTCTACTAGACCTCTCAGTTTTTTTTTTTCAGAACGTGCATTTTATTATAGATACAGAGGTGAAAAGGGGTAGAGGGGATGACGTTGCATGACATTTTCCGAGGTCTCGGGAGTCAAACCTGCGTATTTGTCAGCGCACACTGCATAGGATCCGCCAGCTCTAACCACTGAGCTATCAAGCATCCCCCTCTCAGGACTTTTTAACTTGTTGAACTAACTTATTCATTATAGATACTGAATTTATGAAGGTTGCCCAAAAATACATCATTATATAATTATACTGACACTGCAGCTCCCTGATTCAAAGGACATTGTTATGACAAATTATTGTTGACAAAACTACATTTATTTCCATCCAAAGACCTCCACTTCTAACATATTTTATAACTGAAGTCTCCTCACCCTGCTGATTTCCAGTTTGAGAAAACGGGCTCAAAAATGACTGATTTCCTGATCAGGAGGCGATAATCAATCATGGCTGCTGTACTGAAAAAGGTGCAGCTGATAAAAGAGCTGTCAAACTATAAAAAATGGCAGTTCACTTCTGTCCATTTGCTGGGCCAAATTTAGTCATCTCGCAGGAAGGATTGTGATCTGATGTCGGCTTTGTGTCAGTAGGTACCGATGGTTTACGTTAGTCTTATAAAGATGGAACCATTTCACTGCTTGTTATATTACCAGAAAAGATGTTCCTGTCTCCAGCCATCTGAAGCATTACGCCACTGATATGAAATAAGAACAAACTGAGTGTTAAACAACAGCATTTTATTTAAATGTTAATGGGCCTTTTTGTTCCACTTGTACCTGCTGCATTTTAATTGTGAATGAAATAAATGTTGTAAACCCAGCTGTAGTAACGCTCCCACGCAGAGAAAGAACAATAGCTAGCATTCATGTGGTCCCCTTAATCATCCACTGATGTCACTACCACCTGTGGCATGAATATATGAATGTTTACCCACGTTTCACTCCCCTTGTTGACCGGAAAAAAAGCACACCAGTGACATAACTTCACTAAATGGCTGTGACTCCCTTGTAGCGAATACATGTGGGGGATGAGTTTGTGGATGAAATCAGCCTGCTGCAGCTGGCTGTTGCAAAACGGTCAACACTGGCAATAATTCTGAAATGTGACGTAAACTTACTTCACTTACCCGCAACTGCAGATTTTCTCAGTGTTGCATATCGTTAATTGTTTCGGTTTTTGTGACTGCAACTTCAGGGTTGTGATTTACTCTCATGGCTCTCATCAGCTTTGTTTCCAGTAGCAGACAGCAGTTTTTGGGGGGAAACAAAGCTGTAAAAACACACTGCACCATCTGTCCAGCCCCCAACCAGTGTTTGTTGCTGTTGATCATTGTGGAGCGTAAGGGACTAAAGAGCCACATGTTTTTCCTCCAAAGTTGGTGGTGAACAAAACAAAGCTGAAATGACAGTTAGTGTTTGGCTTGTATACAGCTGGGGGACATAAACCCGACATCAAAGGAATACTAATGTATATTCTTGATTTGTACAAAATCTACTGTTTGTTTTCCACATTTAGTTATTCATTCGGGAGTTACTGTGAGTAATGCTCTCTTTTTCAAGAGCCGACGTCACCTTCACACCTCAAAACATATCAATTATTCACCATAATAACTTTACAAGTCGATAAAATATGAATGCTGTTTGCTGCTTGTTGCACTGCCCAAGTGGCCATTAAAAGGTCATTAGTACCCTTAAAGCCACATTTGCATAAAGGACATTTAGCTGAATATTCTAGGAAACTTGTAATATAATACAACACAAAAGATGATTGATATTAATGGGATAATGATTCTGCAATTCCTTTTTAATGTGAGAATGAGACCTTTTATACTCTACTGGTTGCTTCTTGACAGCTTGTCCTCCATCAATAGCCCTTCTCAGTGCTTGGGTATTATTTATTCATTTCATTACTCACTTTTCATTTATTACTCAGCAGAAATAACATTTGAAAATCGTTTTTTAAATGTTAACCCCGGAAAACGTTTGAATTGAAATTCAATGATTACATTCGAG